TGATCACAAATAAAATAATAAAATATTTTGAATGAAATCTTTACTTAATAACAAAGCTATACTTTTTAAACTTAAATAAACAATAAATTCATAAATTTTTAAAATTGTTTAGTGGATATAAACTGCACGTATTTTTATATAATATATTTCATGCAAACAAATCATTTTAAGATAAATATATGATATTGTATGAGATCATATGATATATCATATATTGATCATATATCATGAATAATTAGACAAGTATTTATATAAATAAATAAAAATATTTAAAAATATTTTTATATTATTCATATGTTATGAGATATTTAAAAACCATAAGAAGACATTTGCTTTAAATATAAATAAATAATAAATTCATAATCAGAAAAATATTTTGAAAATTTTCAAAAACCTATATATTTCTCGTAGTTTCGAAAAAATTTTTTAAACCCATTCCAGAAATATATAATACATATATATATACCATATATGCATTTGACATATAATCAGGATATGCTGCTACTTCAAGAAATAGAAAGATATGTTAGATTATAGAATGATTTCTTGAAAATTTCATTATTTCAAAATCATTATAATCAAAATTTAGATTATAATGTATTATTTTCTATTTCTCCTAATATTTCATTGTAGGTTAACGCTAAGTTATAGCCTATTTATGGTATATGTGTAAATATATATATTATTATATTATGTATAAAAAACATAATTCTCTAAGATTACTACCAAGTGTTCACCACAACTTCTTAGGGGTCTTCCTTATCGTCGCCTTATTACTAGTATTCTGTTTCAAACAATCTTGTTCAAGCGATTAATACAGATTTGACTAATATACTCGTCTTTTAGATCTTATATTCTTTACAATGTCGATAACTTCTATATGAGTTCTAATATTCAAAATTTCTGGAGGAATATACAACAATTTTTCTTTGCAAATTTCTATTTACTACAAAATTTGAAATTTATTTTTTAAATTTCAATTTCTTATTATCTGAGAAATATGCTAATATCTTATTTTGTAAACAAAGTGTTTAAAATTAAATATTATTAGTCATATGCTCATACGTTCTATCTAATATCAATTTACAATACATAAACTACATTAAATTCATATATTTAGTAGTATTAAATTGTTCAAATTAAATTAATTCAAATCAATTCCAATATATGAAATTATAATACAAAAAAGTTGTCTAGACTAAAGACGAAGAAGTTGATGTTGTTTTTCTCATAATTTATTAATTTTTAATATTTTTGTTTATCAATAATTTATTCAAATGAATGCTAAATAGAGTTAATCCAATAAAAATCAAATTTAAGCGTTTATTTTTTATTTTTGAAACAGTATTCAGTTTAGAAACGTCATATAATTTCTCCAACGGTTCAACCACTATTACTGGAATTTCTCTATATTGTTATTTTAAGCATTATATTATATTGTTTTCGTACTTACCAGAGCCATCTAAAGATTTATTTCAATTTGACAGAGAAGTAACTCAAATTTACTTCTAAGTTGCCATTACATTTATACAAATATATGTTATTACTACTTCTTTGTCAATTTGTTTAAAAATACAAAATTATTAACATCTTTTTTGAGTTTCTAGGCAGAGTATAAAACGCAAATATATAAATCATTATATATTTAAAAAAGAAAACATTTTAGCAACAAACTTATACAATGGTCTATCCTCCAATATATATATATTGATTTACATTGTGTATATAGAATTAATAAAATTATTGTTACCAAAACTTCAGTATCTCAGTTTGTCATACCCGACAAATAAATGTCACCAAAGCTTCAGTAACTCAGTCTGCCATGCCCAATAAATCAAATTATGGTCACCAAAACTTCAGTATCTCAGTCTGTAATACCCGACAAATCAAATTATTGTCACCAAAACTTGGTTATCTCAGTCTATCATAGTCAACCTTATCCTGAAGTTAAATACTTAGTTTTCAGAGTTTTTCAGAGTCATTATCTTTCACATTATTCTCATAGGTTAATAACTCTCACCACATATAAACAGTAACGGACAATTATTATCAATCAGAGTCTTTTAGAATCATTATTCTCATAGGTTAGTAACTCTGATCTCAAGAAAACAGTAACTGACAATTATTATCTTTCTGCTTAGCAAATTTACACTGCGACATAGAGATCTATTTTGCTCATTTTATGGTTATAGTGAATTTCTCCGATTCTAATTTCCTCTAAAAATTATAGTATTGAAACTACACCACAAAGTTTAATTTCTTGTTATAATGAGAAATGCTCACTTTCGGTTTTAAATCAGTGCCTGACAAATTCTTAGCACGAGTTTTGAAGTCTCATTATCTTCCCTAAAAAACCTACATGTTTCATTAGAGTGATTTCCTAGTTTTGTGACTTAATAGTTCGATTACATTATTCATAAATCTGAATTTGTCTATTGTGATTAGGTAGTACACCATGGGCATGGGGCCATAACCATGTATGTGGTAATGGAACCATAACAGTGACAAAACTGCAGTTAGTAGATAACTGGAGGTTTGGACATACAAATAGTCAGAATTTCTGTAAGATTTCTTAAATTATTATCATAGCCAATTATCGTATCCAATTTCATCTTAGAGTTATAGTATATTCCCATGTTGTTTCGTGGTCTACTTCAGCTAATCCTTCACTTCAGTCCAACGTCCCACAATATAATAATATAGTATATTCCTCTTGTTTTAATAATATAATATTAGTAGGCAATTTTATCTTAAAGTTATATTACATTGCTCTTATTTTTAGTAATACATATAATTATTATTTCTCTCACGATTTAATTTATGATATTAAATCACTTTAATAAAAAGTTTAATAATTTTAAAATCTATCATTATTGTTAGTATTTAATTGTGTGAAAATTAAGAAAAATAAATAAAATAAACTATAATTGTTTAATCAATTTTTTTGTAATTTAGTCTAAATTTTTTATATGATATAATTTATCATACAATTAGATTCATATGTGGCTTACATACACTATATATATGTTACTATATATGTATATATAATAAAAACTTCTTTGTAGTTGGAATTATTATTCCGTAAATAATTTAGTTAATTAATTTTTTGTGTAAACATAATTTTTTTCTTAACTATGTATAAAAAATAAATTATTTAAAAATATATAAAACTATTTTTTAGTAGACAGTCAACATAGTAGTAAACAAAAAAAAAATAATTATGTATATTAAAACAAATAGACTTTACTTAAAATGCCGTAAAATGAAGGAAAACAGGAACTCAATTTTTCATTTTAAAATTACATTTAATTGTTTTCTGTTTATTTTAATGTTTTTCTTTAAATAACTTTAAATAAATTTTATTTACATTAATTTAACAATTTTTACATAAACCATAAAATGAATTAGCCTCATTAGGTTGCGACTTATGCGCGTTATTCTAACGTTTTTATCGCAACTTGGCAGTTTGCGATAAAAGCGTCGTCTATGCGATGAAGTTTGAATGAAATAAAAACAAAAAAAAAGTTGTTTAGAAAAATTTACTAATTAAAATGTGCATAAATCTAAAGTAATTTTATGTTAATTTCACATTAAAAATGATGTAAATTTGCAGCTCATTGAAGTCAAGAGAAGAAAAAAAATCGCAAAAAAAAAAAAATTAAAACAAATAAAAGAGCATTTACCCGTAAAATATGCAAAATTATAACAACACTAACTGGTTTTTTATTTTCTCATGTTTTCTTTACATTTTCATAATGTAAACAACTTTATTATTAAACTAAATATTTATTTATATTTTCGTATTAAAACCATATCCATATATGCATATGAATGGTTTTGCATAAAAAAGAAAATATTTTCGTTCGAGTAAACGTGATTTTATTAAGATTTATTCTACGTTGCGCCATCTCTCTGAATTCTTTATATATTGTATATATATATACAATACATACGATATATTCATTTATTGTATATTGTAAATAAGTCATTTTTTTTTGTTTTGTTTCTGAAGGTCTATCATAAAACTGTTATTTTGACCTAAATATAATATGTCCGTCTATTTCCGACAACTGTCGACAACTGACAAGTCGATAAATTAATTGATTTGGATATATTTTGTAGAAGTGATGTAAGCACCAAGGATGATTTTATTAAATTTATTATTATTTTCTTTAATAAATTTCAGGAAAATGTATGAAAAATGACAGCCAATAGGAAGTATAATGGCATTTAATAGTAATATTATAACACTTTTATATAATAACTGTTAAACATACCATAAAATTCATTATTAGAAATGATTATTTTAAATTTACATTGGCCGTGGAAACTATATAATGCTTTGAACTTTCTCCCCACAGATTATTAACAAAAATTTCACACGAAATGCGGAATAAAATTAATTAAATAATTAATAAATTAATAAATAATTTAAAAGCTATATATTAGTGCAAATAAACTGTACTTAACTATTAACAATTTTAAGCAGATACTTTCTTCTGAAAGCGTTTTTTTAATAATTATAGAGATTATTTTAACGGACTTACCATATATTGTTGTTTCAAATGAATTCACTATATACTTTCCATAGATTCTTTCTTTCAAAATGAATCAAT